AACAACATCTGAGATCTCTGTCCAGAAGAGTGCAGTCCTAGGAACAGCTAAGATACTGCGCAGGACCCTAAAGCTCCCAGGCCTCTGGTAGAGGACCTGAGCTTGAAGGAAGGAATACAAGACCAGCCCAAAGTCGGGGGCGAGTTTCAAAGTTCAAAGTGTTTATTTTGTCATATGCACAGTTAGGAAGCGTGTTTCTCTGTACAATGAAATTCTTACTTTGCCATCCACATGAATGCCACAAAATACAAATGAAATATAAAGTAGATAAATAAGTAACACAAAATCTAAGGCACTTTAAGCAGCAACAGATGCAGCAATATAATAAAAAATATACAAGAATATAACAATGTATGCTGCATGGGAGCAGCATGTGCAGCAAGTCACAGTGCAATTATGCATGTAACACAAATAAGAACACAAAATCTAAGACACTTTAAGCAGCAACAAATGCAGCAATATAATAAAAGAATATAACAGAGAATGTATGCTGCATGGGAGCAGCATGTGCAGCAGTCAACAGTCATTGTGCAATTATGCATGTGCAAACTGAGAATGTAAACAGTACATCACGTATTTCCTGGTAATAAAATCCTCAGCTGTTTAGGAGTCTGATGGCAGAGGGAAAGAAAGAGTTTTTCAGTCTAGAGGTCCTGCATTTCACACTTCTGAACCTCCGGCCAGAGGGTAGGGAGGTGAACAGTCCATGCTGAGGGTGGGTGGGATCTTTGAGGATGGAGGCAGCTTTCCTATGCACCCTGTGATGGTAAATGCTCTGCAGAGAGGGCAGTGGAGTCCTGGTGATCTTCTCCGCAGTCTTTACCACTCTCAGCAGGTGCTTGCGGTCCATAGCAGTAGTGCTGCCATACCAGACAGTGATGCAGCTGGTCAAGATGCTCTTGACGATGCAGCTGTAGAAGGATCCTAGGCGACATGCCAAACCTTCTCAGCCTCCTAGGGAAGTACAGCCATCGTTGGGCCTGCTTGACCAGCTGTGTAGTGTTATGTGTCCAGGTGAGGTCCTCACTGATGTGGATGCCCAGGTATTTGAAGATGCTCACCCTCTCCACTTCAAGCCCCCGGATGAACAGCGGCCAATGAGATCACACACACACACACACACACACACACACACACAGAGAAGTATTTGTTCTGAGTTTGTCACACCGCAGGAAGATGTGTTATTAACCACCCAGCCAAAATTAAAAAGATCACCAAATATGTCAAATTAGTTTTCAAAATCAAAATAATAAAAAACATAAGGAGCATTCTCTGCTCTGAAACTCTGGGGACATGTTGGGTGAAGACACAAACAGTTAGGTCTCTGTCTTAACAGAAAACATATCAAATCACGGAAATGTGCCACCTGTTCTCATCATGGAAGTATTAAGGGAGAAAATGTAGCCCCACTCATTTTAAGAAATTATTTTCCAGGACATTTTCAATTTCATAAGGCTGTGATGCCAAATGGGGATCACATCCTAGACTAATAAGTTCCTTTGTGTGGATCATATGTATTAATCTATGATGATACTTTATTTATTTATTTAACTGGTCCTTAGGTGCTTTATGACCAGTTGATTATTGATGACTGCCACTTTCACAAACACACACCCAGGTGTGAATTTGTGATAAATGGTGTAACCCCTTTGCCACCCGGCTCGTTATAGCAAGGGAACAGCTACTCAGTGCATACCCCTCTAAACTCAAGAAAAACAGATTGGCAAAAGAGACATTCCAATGTAAGAAACTATGTTTAGGGTTCAGTATGATCCTCACCTTTTTAACATCAATTAGAGAGGTCCCAGAAATGATATTAATTTAAATAACTCAAAATGGGCACTTTAGTCACCAATAACTCACGAAAAATCCCTCCAGGGACTGTTTCACAATGCAGACAAACAAACACACATCGGATGCAGTTCAAGGTTGTGTATTAACGAAAAGCACAGGTCACAGGTTTATCCAATCAAACAACAAATAATATTTTAAACCCTTGGAAATAATGTTTTCACCACACAGTCAACCTGGGTGCACCCTTAGAGTTTTGTGCTAGCTTGAGTTGGCGCGCATTGGAGCTCATGTCCACTTAAAACTCATTCCAGTAATCCTACCAGTTTGGAGAAAAATTCTCTTACCCTTCAGGGAACACAAGACGTCTGCTCACGGAATCCCCACTGCGCTGTCGTCCTCCCACGCAGGTTAGTGCTGGATCTCCCTCGGCAACACCGTCTGCTCCCGTGCGACTCAAGGTAATCCACTCCAGACACGAGGGAGCTAGCTTCAGCCTAGCTTAGCCCTCAGCTCCTTCTTTAGGAAAAACACAATTTAACTCGCAACGAGGTGGCTCTCGAATTATTCTGCGATCCGTGTGAGCAAAGAGCAGTTGACCCAGATTGCTGAAGGTCGATTCTGACCCCCTTTTCTCTGCTTTAAAACTTTTTATGAAGCCTTACCCTCTGTGTGCAATTGTGTGACTTGTCCAGTTCTCCTTTTTTTTTTTTTGGCGCCCCGTTCCTCTCTCTTACTCCCTATTTCCGGTTGTCTTTTCTTTGTGGCACATTTAAACATCATGAAATAACAGGAAATGAAATATCTGGGTTTTTTCTTTCAAACTATTAATTCCTCTACACTCATATAAACAGTTAATTCCATGCAAAAGCATATTTTAACTTTTACAACAGAACTATGAAATCAACTAATGTCCACCACATAATGAAACATAGTAAACACCTTAATGCATCACTATAACATGAAACACATTCTTGTAAGTAAAAGAAAAACAAAATATTCTGATCGACTGAATAATCCGATTATTACAATGGATTTGTGCAGGTTTATTGGCAACAGACAATGCACATAGCAATATCCTCTAGAAGCCCTACAGAAGATGGGTTTCATGTTCATGAGTTAAGATTTGACTTGTTATATCTTCAAAAGGAGTACTGACCCTCAAACCTACCACTGTCAGAAACACTCTTGGCATAGTCCTGCAGAATGTCTATTTCTTTTATTAATTGTATTATGTTAAAAAGCTAGCCAACTAATGACAAACAATGATTCTGCAAGTGGTGAAGCAATACATCTCATATTTAAAGCTAAAACTCATTACTAGAATTTACAGTTACAAGTTATTAATGTTTGCATTTCAACTATAAAGCTACTTACATTTCTTGGTTGTCTATGTTCCATTGTGATTTTATCTGCCCAGTTCATTTTATTCACACCATCTTCACCAAAATGATGTGACGTGGGGAATTTAAAGGCTAGTGGCTGAGGGTATTCAGAACATACACAAACATTAATAAAAACAGGCCATAAACCCTTGCCAAGTTTATCTCATACATTGCTCTAATTTCAGCTGCCAGTTCATACTAAGATCTGACAGTTTGCTCTCAGCAATAGGAAAATACAAAAATGTGAAAAAAAATTTCCAGGATGATGAAGTGTTTTTCCAGGACTGTACAGTTTATCTCAATTCCCATGACTCTTCCATGACTGGAAAGCTGGTTTTAAAAATACCAGACTTTCCAGGCTTTCTAGGACATGTGGGAACCCCATGTAGGAAAGATGCCTTTGTGGGGTGAAGACATTGCTAGCTTGCTAGCAAATTGTAGGCTGTAGAAGGTGTTGTAACTCACGATCAAACAGGAGTTTCTCTGCCAGTCAGCATGTCATTGCTAGGCCATATAAACACCCTGGCAGCATTAGCTATATGTTTAAAATAACCACCATCCTGCACTGCCCTGAAATTGGCAGAATATATAAAAAGGAGGCTACAGTTGCTTCATTCATTGTGGATGTGAATACAGTCAAACTGCTTAAAGTCAGTGCTTTAATCTCATTCAATTTAATTTTAAGTAAAATAATCTACAGAACCAAACAGCTAAAATGTGTTCCTGCCAAAAATGATAGACTGTATTGTACAGTAGGTTGTCTGCTGACCTGTTTCCAGTTTCAGCTTGATTGTTAATTTCCAAGTTATAGACAGAATGCAGACCTGTAACTGCTGTGTTTTTATATTGTATTACTGCAATTACATTAGTATTTATGCCCTCCGATTTACTCGATGGGAAAATATGCTTATTGAAACACATTACAGCATTTCTGATTTGACTGTGAGGTAGTACAATCCAGTCAAGAAGTTTTCTTTTTAGTCTAATGGAATTTTGGTTTATGATAAATCTAATTAAATAAACTACAATAAAGACCCCTATTGTAACGCCTCCTGTATTTTTTGTCAGTGCCCTGAATGACAGATGTCTTGTTGGAATGCAAATGTCAGTGTTCTGGTACAAGAGTTGGTTGTACTTGGGCCTGAAAACCTTAGAGATCCTGATCCTTTGTAGACCTTGCTAAAAGTATACCGCATCTGAGTGAGTCTGTACAGCTGTGAGTCTGTCTGCCACTCTGTACACATTGCGTACTTACCATGAAAATCCTGTGAGCTGGGTAAGCTTCCTCTGCTTCATTTTATTTAGTTTCATCTGGAAGGGGAGAAAAGTATTGCCAGTGTGCCACTTCAACAGAACAAGGATAATCACCATTATTTTGCCAAGTATATTACACACAAGGAATTTGTTTCCAGTACAGACCCGAGGCAGCAACTCAGACTGCTGGCTCTAACCATCGGGGGCAACTTGGGGGTTCAGTGTATTGCCCAAGTACACTTCAACATGTGCACAGCAGGCACTGAGATTTGAACCTCCTACTGTCTGGTTGGGAGACGATTGCTCTACCCACTGAACCACAGTCACCCCACTTTGTTAAAAAATATGCGACAAAGTGTATTTACAGCCAGTCTCGTAGCGCTAGGCTGTCTAACCACTGAGGTACAGTCAGAGCTGAGCCATATCTAGCCTGGCACATATTTACAGGTCTTAGAGATGGCAGGAGTGTAGCAAAAGTCACATGTAAAAAGCCAATTAAGAGGCCTATCTGAGATGTAAAAGGAATAATTTCCTGTTTTTCATGGAAGTGCATATATTTGCAGATTCTTTTACACATGCACAGATCTGATTTGTATTTAAAGATTTGTTTACATATTTATAGATCTCAGTACGTATTCGGATACCAAGGCATCACATAACAATGCCCAATGGCTGGTGGACCTGAGAGCAGACCACAGCACCCTCCCTGAACAAGATCCAGTAAGCATCACAATGGCAGACATCCAAGTATGAAGAGCTGGACAGCACCAGGCCCTGACATGATCCATGCCTACTGGTTAAAGAAGCTAACTTCACTCCATGAGCGCCTGGCGGGACAAATGAACCAGCTACTGATGGATGGAACCCGCCAGGAGTGGTTAACTGAAGGCCGGACGGTCCTGATCCTGAAGGACCTTCAGAAGGGAGCAGTACCATCCAACTACCACCCAATAACCTGCCTCTGCACAACATGGAAGCTCCTGTCAGGCATCATAGCAGCTAAGATAAACAGGCACATTGCTCAATACATGAGCAGCGCCCAGAAACAAACTGGTAGTAACACCAGAGGACCAAAGTACTGAGGTTCTTTACAAATAAAAGCACAACTATTAGAGACAAATTTTATCAAATCATGCCCACAACTCTCACAGACGTGCCATCTCTGACTTGACCTCAACAATTGCTTCATCTAAATCATCATCATGTCTCTTAGACCCCATCCCGACCAGGCTGCTCAAAGACATCTTGCTCCTAATCAACACATCCATATTAGATCTGATTAACCTCTCTCTATTAACAGGCTATGTTCCACATGCTTTTAAGGTTGCAGGAATTAAACTTCTACTCAAAAAGCCTACTCTTGACCCAGGTGTTCTAACTAATTATAGACCAATATCCAATCTCCTGTTTATTTCTAAAATCCTTGAAAAAGCTGTTGCAAAGCAGTTAAGTGAGCACTTGCACAAGAATGATTTGTTTGAGGATTTTCAGTCAGGATTTAGAGTCCATCATAGTACAGAAACTGCATTGGTGAAAGCCACCAATGATCTTCTCCTAGCCTCAGACAAAGGACTTGTCTCCATACTTGTCCTGTTAGATCTCAGTGCTGCTTTTGACACCACTGATCACAGCATCTTACTACAGAGATTTGAACATGTTATTGGGATTAAAGGAACTGCACTAAATTTGTTAAAATCAGAAAGATTCCAATTTGTTCATGTTAATAATGGATCCTCCATGCAGACTGAAGTTCATCATGGCATTCCACAGGGCTCTGTGTTAGGTCCAATTCTCTTCACTTTTTTCACTTTAGGCAATATTATCAGAAAACATGGCATATATTTCCATTACTATGGAGATGATAGTATCTATGAACCCTGATGAATCAGATCAGTTTGTCAAACTTCAAGCATGTCTTAAAGACATAAAGACCTGGATGACTTGTAATTTTTTACTTCTAAACTCTGACAAAACTGATGTTATTGTACTTGGGCTGAAAACCTTAGAGATCCTGATTCTTTGTTTTTTAAAGAGTGCATGCACATCCCGATCTGTGAAAAGGATGTGCGTGGCCTCTTTAATAGACAAAAGCTCAGAAAGGCACCAAGCCCAGATGGTGTGACCCCCTCCTGCCTGAAAGTGTGTGCTGATCAGCTGGACCCAATCTTCACATTTATCTTAAGAAGGTCACTGGAGCTGTGTGAAGTCCCCTCCTGCTTCAAATGCTCCACCATCATTCCAGTCCCCAAGAAAACCCCCATCAGTGGGCCGAATGACTACAGACCTGTCGCCCTGACATCTGTAGTTATGAAGTCCTTTGAAAGACTGGTGTTGGCCCATCTGAAGGACATCGTAGACCCCCTGCTAGACCCCCTGCAGTTTGCCTACCGGGCAAACAGGTCAGTGGACGATGCAGTGAACATGGCACTGCATTACATCCTGCAACACTTTGACTGCCCAGGGATCTATGCTTGGTTCAAAAATCAATCAATCAAAATTTATTTATATAGCACTTTAAAAGCAACGTCTGGCCGACCAAAGTACAAGGGCAATGTAAAAACCAGAATAAATAATGTCAATAGAGAAATAAAACAACATAGGAACATAAAGACACAAACTACACAGAATCAACAGTTAAAAGAAGGAAGCATCAGACAATACTGTGTATTAAAAGCCAAAGTGAATAACAGGAACTAGCAAGAGAGATCATATCTCTCCCATATTAGCTTCTCCCTGTAAAATTCAGAATAGAATTTAAAATCCTTCTCCTAACATACAAAGCCCTTAATGACAAGGCTCCATTGTATCTTAAAGACCTCGTAGAGCCTTATCATCCTAACAGAGCACTTCACTCTCAGAGTGCAGGATTACTTGTGGTTCCTAGAGTCCACAGAAGTAGAATGGGAGGCAGAGCTTTTAGCTATCAAGGTCCTCTCCTATGGAACCAGCTCCCAGTCTCTGTTCAGGAGGCAGACACCCTCTCTACCTTTAAAATTAGACTTGAAACTTTCCTTTTTGATAAAGCTTATAGTTAGGGCTGGATCAGGTGACCCTGAGCCTTCCTTTAGTT